AAGACGAATCTGTAGTATGTGAGCCTAGTATCACAAAACTCCAAGCACATGCTTGGAAGGTCAGGGCTCCCCAAAAGATTTGCCATCTTATGTGGCAGCTGATAACAGGTCATGTAGCTGTGACGACTATCTTAAACCACAGACAAATGTGATGTGATAACCAATGTCCTCGTTGTGGGGAACCTGAGGAAACGATTAATCATGCAATATTTGAATGTCCACCTGCTTTACAAACTTGGGCGCTATCATCTACACTTACCAATCCTGTCTTGTTTCCAATACAAAGTACGTATGCGAATATGGACTACTTATTCTGGAGGAAGACTGCAGTAAAGGAGCCAAAATTGGACAGGGATCCTTATCCTTAGCTCATCTGGTACATTTGGAAGGATATGAATGAAGCTGTTCAGAGGCATTGATAGGAACCCACTGGAGACAGCGCGCTATGCAGAGAGTGAATGCCAAGCATGGTTTCAAGCAAATGAGCAGGACATTCCGGTCCCCCCTGGGAATGGAATAGCTGAAGAACATACCTTAAGTCTGGGTAACATATGCATGGTGAATGGATCTTGGACTTCTATGGACCTCTTCAGTGGATGTGGATGGGTGTTGAACGACAATTTCGGGGATAGACAGTTATTGGGGCTGCGAAACTTTGATCGAGTGGAATCGGCGTTGCATTCAAAGTTGGAAGCACTGCGATGTGCAATGGAGAACATGCTTCAACATTCGACATGTCAGAGCTTTGAAACTGATTGCAAGGAGATGACTGAGATGCTAAGAAATCCTCATGCATGGCCTAGCTTCTCAACGGAACTGGAAAAGTGATGACACTGAACATCTGCTTTCTTGAATTCAAGATTTTTTACGTTCGTAGATTAAATAACGGTGCTTCTGATTCTCTAGCCAAGATAACTAGGTCTTTTTATCATAAGTTTGTGTACGTTGGTTATTCTGTTCCGGTCTGGTTACCCAGACCATCTCAAGTTGCTTGCGTAATAGATCAACCGTTTGATGTCAAAAAAAAAAATTGATTAACGCAAATATTTAATAAATTAGTTTTATGCTAATGAGCTTATAATGTTAACGCAAATATTTTATAAACTGGTTTTATGCTACTCCATAGTTTTATAGATTTATATATTCGAGTTTTCCGGCAAAGTCGCATTTGCCATTTACTCCCTCTACAAATTACAAAAAGCTTAGTGGGGATTATTGGTTGTGGTATTTTAATGGATTTAGAAAATGTTCTTGATTTGGAAATCTTTGACGAATCCATTGATTTTAAAATCAAATGAAGTGGATTTCATAAGGATTCAGATGGATGTCAAAATCAAATAAGTGGATTATTTATAAATCAGCTAAATGAATTTACAAAGAGTTGTGCACGCAAGTTGTCCTTGATCCGGAAAAAAAAAGTCTTATATGTGAGGAAAGTTATCGGTTGGAGTCTAACCAGGTTTCGCATAGAGTTGTCCAGGAAGAGAATGGGAACAACAAGCTTTGAGTGTCTTTCCATTAGAGCATCTCCAATGTATTACTCCATTTTCTACTCTAAAATGGAGTAACTCCAAAATGCAGTTGAGTTTTACTCCAATGTATTACTCCATTTTCTACTCCAAAAGAATATTTTTAATATTATATTTATTTCAAAATTAGGAATATCACCTTTCATTTATACTATTTGCAAAACAGTCCATTTTTAATTTATAGCATTTCTATTAAATACAATATTAACCACAATTAAATTTATATTATATAAATAAAATTACTCAATAAGGTTTTAAAAGAATACATTTAATACATTAAAAATTACATTATATAGCTTAAACACAATAATACATCAATTCTAAATTATTCATGAGAATTATAATAATTTCCCCACAAATGATCAACTAATGCGTTTCGAAGTAAAAAATGAGCTTCTTTATCTTTGATTTCTCTGAAATGGGAAAGAAACTTTTGGAACCTCACATTATTATTTTCTTCAATTTCAATTTTCCTTGACATGATTTCTCTTTCAATTTCAATTGGCACCTCGAGATCACAATCATCTTCTATTATCATGTTATGTAAGAATTTAATAATATTTTATCGGATTATTTTAATAATTTTAATGGATCCGAAAATGATTTATCGAATTATTAAGCAATTATATTTGTTGTAAGTTTTATTTTATGTTATTTCTTTTGTATGGTGCTTATCTTTCATTTTCTATATGTATNTTTTAATAATTTTAATGGATCCGAAAATGATTTATCGAATTATTAAGCAATTATATTTGTTGTAAGTTTTATTTTATGTTATTTCTTTTGTATGGTGCTTATCTTTCATTTTCTATATGTATGATCTTTTATGTTTTATATTATATATATTATGTTGTATAAAAGAGTTCATCAGATGGTTATTTATATAATTAAAAAAATATTAACAGTAAATTTTATAATATATATAATAAAATAATATTAATATACTTATTTATAATAATATTTTTATTAAAGACGAGGCTATTTATATAATTAACAAATATTAACAGTAAATTTTCTAATATATAGTAAAATAATATTAATATACTTATCTATAATAATATTTTATTAAAAATGAGGCTATTTATATAATTAAGAAATATAACAGTAAATTTTATAATATATATAGTATTTATTTATAATAATATTTTATTAAAAAGGAAACATATATAAATGTGGAGGACTATTTGATAAATAAAAAAGTTCAACTCCATTTTGGAGTAATGAGTTGGTTTACTCCATATTTGGAGTAATCATGTTTGTTACTCCATTTTGGAGTAAGTTTTGAAGTAGGGTTGGAGATGATTTTATTGCAAAATGGAGTTTGGAGTGGGTTTTGGAATGGGGTTGGAGATGCTCTTAGCAAACAGTTTGTAGCTAAGGAAGAGAACGTCAAGCTTGAGTTTAATAGTATTTGTAGTTGTGCTTGTATAACTGATCAGTTGTTTGTTGAATACTCTTTCATTCCCATTTTGTTGTTGCCTGTAGTTTTTTTTCCGTATTTTTCAGTGCTTGAGGTTGGTTATTGTGTGCTTTCCTTAGTCATGGAGCTTTGAATCTGTTTATTCTCCTTGATGTACTTTATTTGACAGATTTTGAGTTTTGAAATGCAGAGAGATCATGATGATTAGCTTACTTCAAATTTCAAGAACGATGAAAGTACTGATATTTTGCAAAGACAATCAAGCATAATATATAGATTTAACAAAGACAACAGAAAAAATTGAACTTAAAGAATTGTGTTGAGATTTACTGGACATGTAATTTTACATGCAAAAGCAGTAACATCGCCGATAAAAAGCTACCGTTACGTAAAGTCAAAACATTGATGTGTGAGACTGTGAGTCCCATTGAGAATTTACTGAGGAAGTGATATATGACGAAGTGATCCTTGTTGGTGGATTCACATATATTTCTGCTTTTCAAGAAGTCATGAGGAAAGAACGTATGTCACAGTAAATCTTGATGAGGTTATAGTTCTAGGTGGTGCGGTTGAGGTTTGTTCTCGTGCACATGTAATATAATGTGTATTTAAAAAAAAACTAATAATACAAATCCAAGCAAAATAACAAGGTTCACCTCTATATTTGTTCCTTTTGTATTTTGATCTTAAAAACACTTACAAATCTGTTAAAATATAGTTTCAAATCAAATCTTTAAACAAATCTTTATAATTGAATAACACTTGATTTCAAAATCTATTTTACAATCTTAAAATCAATAACACTAGATTTGAATATAAATTTAAAAATCATAAAACTAGGCCTGTTCAATCTGGTGTTCGGTCCGGTTTCGGTTCGATTTTTCTCGGTTTTCGGTTATTCAGTTTATAAAAATTAGCTACCATATTGGAACCATATTTAATTTGGTTTGGTTCGGTATTTATACTACCGGTTTTCGGTTTATTCGGTTTTATACCAAATAACATTATTATTTGATTTGGTTTCATATTATATGAATTTAAAAAAAACATATTGTCAAAACTATCATTTATTAAAATAATCCTAGGTGTTCATAAATAGAAAAAATGTGAAATTAACAACAAACAAAACGATCAACGATTCTGTTTTGTATAGTTTTTCTTATTTTCTCTTTGTTCTTCCAAATAAATTACATGGTACAATCTAATTTCACAATTTCTTACAACATGTAAAATCAAATCAAATTTAGATAATAGTTGAAGAAAATAAAATAAAATTATTAAGATATATCTTCACAAGGTATAAAAAAATAAAAATAAAAAGACTATTCCAAGAAAATAAATGGTTATATAATGTATATATTTATATATTTTTTCTTTGATCGGTTTTGTTCGGTTTATTCGGTTTAATCGGTTATAAACCTAACCATATCCAAATCCTACGATTTTTATAAAATCATATCCATTCGGTTTATATAATATATACCAAATCCAAATCATATTGTCTATTTCGGTTCGGTATCACCATATTGAACAGCCCTACATAAAACTAATAACACTAGATTTAGTTTGGATATCCCAATCCATGAAAATATACAAATCAATAACACACTCTCAGTATTACGTAAAGTTTTCAACCTTATCTACAGTTTCTGGTTCTACTATTGGGGTTTCTTTTGGCCCATATTTGGTCAGTGAATATGTCTACGGTTGGGCCTTGCTTTCTACTTATTATTAAAATATCATAATATTAGTACAAGTTCCACTTTGGGATAGTCTGGTACATAAACTCTCAGAGCTTCTATCACCAATGTCAGTATGCTATAAACTCTCAGAAATGACGTTTCAAAGGAACACGCTTTACGACCATGTCTTGACCTGTTAGAGGCATTTACCAAAATGCCCAGCTTCACTCTCAATGACTTTATTATACACACTCACACGTCAAAAAACAAAGGTGTTTGTAAGCACACGCTTGAAGATTCTAGAAAAGCTACAGCTTCTTCATCTCTCCCAATTCTAGCCACAAACAAGAGGTTATTGTAGTGAAAAAGATGGTTTTTACTCCATACCCAGATTTCCTCATAATCTACAACTCCCAGGATGTTTCTCTTTCTCAACGTTTGGTTAATACACTTTCTCTTTCTCTGTTTTTTCTTTTCTGGGTTCCTGGAAATTTTTTGTAAATTAATTCTCGAAAGAACGATTTGTTAAACTGTAGAACAATGTGGATAATGAGATAACTGGTGGCTAGCTTGTTTTTATGTACTGTTATGATAATGTACTGTACATAATGAGATAACTTGTGGCCAGCTTGTGTTTTCAATTACTGTTATAATAATGGACTGTACAGCTTAAGTTACAAAAAAAAAAAAGGACTGTACAGCTTTGAACATTGTTTCTTTAACCCTTCATCTCTCTTGGTTCTGCTTTGTTAATTTTTTTCTTTTACTGTTCTGTTGAACTCTTAATCTCAGTGTTCTCTTCTTGATGTTTTTTTATTCTGTTCATCATTTACCTTCATTCATCTGTTTTTTGATATCTTAGGGTTTGGTTATGTTCTTGATTTTGATTATGTTCCTCATCTCTTAGGGCTGTGTCTGTTGCTGAGTTTATCAGAGTTTAGTTCGTTCCTGATGTTGAAGAGTTTGGTTATGTGTCCGGTCTATTAGGTGTTGGTCCTGTTACTTACTTCTCTGTTAGGCTTTGGTTATGTGTCTGGTTTCTTAGGGTTGAATTCTGTTAGGTTTTGGCTTTGTTCCTGACTTCTAAGGTTTTGGTTATGTTAGATCTCTTAGGGTAATGTGGTAAACAAAAAATTGCTCTGTTCTAATTAAACTTTGACTCCTCTGCTCTTGATATTACTTTGTCAGTAAATGTAGCTTTTGACTTCTTGTATTGTTGCTGTCAACTTGTAGCTACTCCCAAGTGATTACAGAAAGTACTACCCAACGCCTCTCCCTCAGACAGCTGTTCTCCGGAAGCCAGAAGGAAACTTCTGGACTGTCAAATGGACATTAAGCCAAGAGGACACGATTAGCTTCGAAGATGGTTGGTCTAAGTTCATCACAGACAACGCTCCCATCGACGGAGACTTTCTCCTGTTCTCTTACGATGGTTCACGAACCTTCTTGGTAAGCATTTTCAGGGACGGCTTCCCTGTGAAGCCAAAATCTCCTGTCAATATTCAAGAAATTTCAGATGAGGATGATGATGATGATGATGATGATGATGATGGTAATCACGACATGAAGGAGGAAGAAGATGAAAACGATCAGAACATGATCATTTCTCTTTCTTTGGGAAGCAGCGACGAAAATGAGGTTGATACAAGGATTGGTGAAGTTAACAAAGCTCATGGAAGCTATTTAAGGAAAGGTTAAAACTAACCTTAATTAGAATGTGTTGATCCTACGAGTACTTATTCATTTGAGTGATGTTTCAGTAGTTGGGTCTTCTCAAAGGAGACGTGCTGAAGCTATTGGTGATCCGGAAATGTATCTTGATGATCCTTCTAACCCTTACTTTATCGCAGCTTCGATTAGTAGGCCTTTATTGGTAAAAATCTCCATCTTAAATTGTGTTTCTCTTCTTTTAAATCAATTATTTCTTTTATAAGACACTAATCAGATTTTGTACTTTGTTACGTGTAGGGTTTTGCTAAGCAAGTAATAAAGGACTATGACTTGAAGTTTGGTGACACAATCAAGTTCATCGATGGATTTGGCGAGTTAGAGGGAAAGATTCGAAACTGGAAAGATCGTGTTGGCGTTCACAGGTGGAAAGAAATCTATGAAAGAAATGATGCAACGCCTGAAGATGTAATCATATGTGAGATTCTATGTGAAGGAGGTGTTGTTCGATCCATCAAGGCTCATTTCGTTAAGAAATGATGATGATTAGTCTATGATTTATTTTAGCCTTGGTGTTTTCTTTTAGAGGCTCATGTGTTATCCTTTTCTCTGTTAGGATCTGATGTTGAAACTTGATGTTTGGTTTTGGATTTGAAGTTGTGATCATTTAAATCTTTCTGCCGCATGTGTAATGGAAACAAACAATGGAGTATGACTCAGTTTTCTTCTAGCTTACGTTGAAACTTGGTGTTTGGTTTAGAGATATAAGTTGTGATCATTTAAATCTCGTGTCGCATGTCTAGCCGAAACTTTGGAGTTGTGACTCAATTATCTTCATGTTACATTTTAAAATTAGATTTGGTCCAACCATAAGTAAAACATACGGGGTACAACTTTATTTTCTCAGATACATTTTGTAGTTTTCAAACCTAAAAATAATATACTAAACATGTTTTTGTTTTTTTTTGTGCTAACCGAGTATCCTGACCCCACCGAAATGGTCTAGACTAGAGACTGAAGCGAACAGTTGGAGCTCATATACCACTAGACCAAAACAACTTGATTTATACAAAACATGTTATCAGGTCCAACATTTTTAAATATCCCAAACAACTTATTTACACATAGTGTTCAATAGTTTGTAAAAATAGTTTTACTAAGTTCACCTCATAAAGAGATATTACCTATCATTATTCATAAACAAATAAGCAATATATTTGTATCTCTTCATCTTGCTAGTTTCTCTATAAATATGTGAAAAAAAAATTTGTGATAACACAATAGATACATAATAGTAGTAAAAAAGATTAGAGTGATGACAAAATTTGATATTTACGGGGTGATTTTTTATTAACTAAATATACTTATTAATAGAATATTATTTAACAGTAATTTTTACCAAAAAAAATATTTAACAATAGCCTTAATTAATAATTTATTAACAAACTCATATATAATAGTAAATATAGAAATTTACTATGTAACTTATACTTTATTTACTTTTTAACATTTTGACAATCATAATTGTTTTTTTTGTTACTAAAGAAAATGTTTTCTAAAATTAAATGGCCTAATTGGTGGGTATGTTTTTACATGATTTCTCAATCTTCATGATCTTTCATTGGCTTTTCTCAAGTTCTGCCTTGAGATGGATCCTTCTTGGGCTTAGAGATATGGACAGTTACACTTATATCTCATACTGTATATAAAAAGGAAATAGCAAAAATGAAACAGTTGTCCAAAAAAAAGCATGAATGAAATAAATAAATATTTTTGATCAAAAAGAATAAATAAATATTTAATCGTTTTTTATATAAAAGGAAAAAATATTTCATGAGGGCTCGGAAGTATGAAGACAGTTTACTTTTCTCTTCAGTAAGTTGAGTTGTCCAAATCATCAGCGTCATCTAATTTATTGTGCAATCTATCTCACATTTATTGAGCATGCACTATTTAACTGTTTCTGAATGTCATACATGATACAAATATTAAAGTCTTATCTAACCGAAACGATCAGAGGGACGAACTGCAGTATACTAAACTTATTCGGTTTGAGTCTGTTTAGATTTAAAAGTACCGAAAAGTAAAAACTTTAATTAAGCAAGTAATCTCTCTATTTATATAAAATTAAATCAAGGACGATGAAACAATGGAAACGCTCATGTTTAATACTACTTAAAAACACTACTAAACATTCTGACATCACAACACAGCATCACTGTTATCTCAACACAATATATTGTTTTTAAAGTGTTTTTCAAGATACTTTTGCGTCATACCTTTTCGTAGTTGTAACAGGTAAGGTCTAAGGATAAAGTAGCAATTTAATAATAGTTTTATTTGTATTAGAAAACAAAACAAAAAAAGGATGAGGAAAAGGTCGAAATGCAAACAATAATTGAATAAGTATATAATTAATCGACGATAACACATGCAATGTTCATCATTCATTGAACCAAAACCTTATTTTAATTTAATATCTTTTTGGTGTCTTCCCTACCTTTTCAACTTTAAAAAGTGTGTAGTTACCTTTCTTTTTCTGGAAACTTTTGGTTATCCCTTTTTCCGTTTTTGTCTTTTTCTTTGATATTCTTTACGTTTTGTATAGAAAAATGTAATAAAGCTAAGCAATCACAGTTTTCCTGCAACTAAAACTGCTTTTAGCCTTTTACACTCTTCTTAACTCGGGAATCAATGGTCCCTTGGTTTAGATTCATGGACATTAATAAAGAAGACTAAAGAATACAATTTTTAATTGCCAACATTACTTAAAACTTTATTAATTTAATTATTTATATATCAAATAAATCTCTATAATTGCTAACATAAATCACCTCCTCCCGTACCGTACATAAACATAAAAACTATTAAGTAAATAAAAAAGAACAAAAAAGCTATAAACACCTTTTTTACTGTTTATACCACTAACTGTTTCCCTTTCACCCGCCAAAACCATTTGAGACATATTTACATCTCTGCCCTTCCACCATCCACTGAAATAACAAAAACTCTCTGTTTCTTACTTAAACTGCCAACGTAACACTTGCCGGTAGCAAATCACCACCGCTCCGTTCACCGGAATCTTCATCTAGCTCGAGCCGAGCAACGGTACGGTCACCATAAGTACCAGAAGACGACACACGAGCCTTAAGCTGGCTCAAAACCGGAACAATCGCCTTCTCAATCCACTCCTCTAACTCCATCTCCCCTAACCAAACTCCACTCAAGATTCTCTGAATCACATCTTCCTCCACTTCTATCGATAAAGATTCACCCACAACGGTCGTGAACCTCTCCGACAACGTATCTGACACTCTCTGCTTCACAGCTCCGAAGTCGACAGCTCTAAACGCCACCGCATCGTCTACACGACTCACCAGCTCGTGAAACGCAAAAGGAACACATTGCAAAGATAACTTCCCGCTAAACTCTTCTTGATCATTATCCGTTAGTTCACTCGTATTGTTCGAACCATCATCATTCGTATCAGCAGCTTGGTTTAAATCGAACGTTAAACCGGAACCATGTTCTTTCTTCGGTTTAGTCAACCTCTCTTCAACAACACCACTACTCAACCAGCTAGCTCGACGTTTACCAAACTTCTCACGTATACACAACCTCAACCTCCAGCTCTCGCTAGCTAAATCCCTCAACTTCGCTTCGTTGTCTGAGAAACAAGTTTTGGTTCTATGCCAGCTCGCTGTCATAACAAAGATCACATTCCCTAAACTGATCTCACGTCCGTGAGAATCAGAGATCCTTCCTCTATCCATCGCTCGTTTTATACTCCCACGTAACAACATGTCAGCTTCATCGATATCTTCAAGCAAGATAACAGAGAAGGGACTCCTCTTAACTGTTTCAGCAATCCTGTCCAACACGGTTTTACCACGGACACCACCAGCTTCTTGTCTCGACCCGAGTGAGATCATTATCGGACTGGTTCCGTATACTAGAGTAGACAGAGCGGATACCATTTTTCTCTTACCAACTCTGTCTGGTCCTGAGAACAGTAACCACACGTCTCCTTTTGATACCACACCGCGTCGTTTCCCTGCGCCTAGCTTGCATTGACTAACCGTGGCGGCGATGGCAGAGGCTGCGTCGTGCTGCCACCAGACTTTCTCCGTCATTCCCTTTAGAAGCTTCTTGAACAAATCAATGTCTAATGAGTTCTGTAGAACACTGATCTTATCGTTCTTGTTCTGTACTGATTCATCAGACGATATGCAGCCAAGAAAGTCTCTCACTCGCATATCACCTGCCTTGTCCGAATCCTAAAATACGCACAACACAACGCAAGTAAACAGAATATGTTTTAGGTTTCTGGTTTTTAATAAACTTTTTTTTTTCATCGCAATAATTATGAAAAAATGTTTAAAATCAACACAAACCTCTGTTCGTCCAAGAACAAGATCGGTCTGAACCGGACTCCCGGGAGGACTCTTCTTCTTGGTTTGTTCTGTTACCAAAGGGGTCACAGGTTTCAAGTGTACCCTCTCACGCAACTCTCTATTAGGCTGGAACTTTGGCTGTAACGGCTGACGTAGAAGCATATTTGGACTATATGAGCTTGTAGTCAACGGTATAGGTGTCGGAATCGGAACGATCCTCTCGTTCTTGTTATGGAAGCTAGGATGAAGACGCACACACGCATCATTCCATTTCTTCTTCACTTCTTCAATCTTTCCCTGCTGTTATAAAAATAAATAAATAAAAGATTTGATTAGTCTATTGCAATTGTGGAAGAGAAGAAGAAGACTAAAAAAAGTAATAAACTTACCGGTACACGATTGACCGGTTTAGCATTCAACAACCATTGTGGCAACTGTTTTGGTTCTGTCTTAACCTCTTGAGACATTGACTCAAATTCCGACAGCTCTCCCTCGCAACTCTTTGAACACTCCGGACAACATTTCAACGTCGTCGTCGTCGTCATGTTCCCCGCCACGAAGCTCTTCAACGGCGTGAATGATCCCAAACTGTTCCCAAGCCTCGGGAAAGCTCCCGAAGCCGGAGCTTTCGCCGCCAACGACACAGCTTGAAGATCCCAATCATTCTCCATCGAAGGATGATACACTTGACACCTCAGATAAGTCTCACACGTGGCGGTTCCTATAAACCATAACCTCCCTTCGAATTTCACCAAAAGCCTCCTTAACTCCGCCACCGCCGTCCTCCCTACCTCCACCGCCACCGGCTGCGGCTGCTCCACCAGCCATTTCAAGTCTCCGAGATTGAGAATCACTCCTCCTCCAGGATCCGAATCCTTTATCCGGGTCTCCAGCAACCCGATTCTCTCCGCCTTATCCGAACTGATCTCCTCGAAGTTAACAACAACCTTTTCTCCGGATTCAATTCTCTTAAGGACCTCGGTAATTACCCGACCCGGCTCCGTATCCCCGACTAAAACCGGGTTCCTCTTCTTCCCACGACCCAATATATCCATCACCCGCTCCACGTCATCGTTTTTATTAACCACCCCTGATTGCTGCACCGACGCGGCGCCGTTCTGCTGCAAACGCGGGTTAAGATAAGCGTTCCGTGTCATCGGACCTCCTCCACCGGGTCGGAAATTTAACCCGACGGGAGAAACGCTAGCAACCGACGTCGTATTGGTCGTACTATTATTATTATTATTCAAAGACTGTTCTATTGTGGCTTTAACCGCGGGACTAGAGAAGCTAGCCTCACGCATAACCCGGCTCACACTCGGATCATCCAAGATCGATATTATTAACTGCTCCAACTCAACTTTAACCGCCAACAAAGGCTGCTGCTGCTGCTCCGGACATCCACGTCGTTGGTGAGCTTGCGCTCTCTTCAACGCCGCCATGAGCGCGTTCGAGATCGGAGGATCGTTGGCTGGAGATGTCGTTGTGGCGGTGGGGAGGCGCTCTAAGGCGACGCTGAAGCAGAGCTCGAGGGCGCGGCACTGGAGAGGGTGTGAGGAGTTGGGGTGGGATCGGATGCAGGCTCGTCGGAGGAAACCTGAGGGTGAAGCGAGGAGAGTGGTCGCGACATGTAGAGGAGTTGTTTGGCCGTGGTTGCGACGCGCCGCTTCGGAGATTGATTGGTTTAATACGGTGGCAGCCTCTGGGGTTAGAGTCTGTTGGATCGTGGTTAGACCAGCTCTCATCCTTCTTCCACTTTGTGTTCTGTCTATCTCTCTTCCCTCTTTCTTCAATTATATGTTTGGGATTAAAAAAATCGAATCTTCTTTTTTCTCTTTATGAGGATATGAATGAAATAAAAAAAGATTGAATCTTTTGAGTTGGGTTCTCAATTATTCAGACAGGTTTTATGAACTGTGGTTCCTCGATTTTTTTTCCCTGTTGGAAGCCAAAAAAATGATATAATGAAAATATATCCACCGGCTAGAAATATGAGCTTTTAGATAGGTTTTATAAGACAAGGAGGAGAAAAGTTAGTCTTTTTCTTCTCTGATTTTTAAAAGGAATTATTTGGAGATGAAGACAAATTGGGATTTCAAATGGATCACAAAAAATGGCTTTTGGAAAAACTAAAAATTTATTGAAAATAATTGTATATTAAAATAGAAAAAGGAACTTTCGGATCCAACAAACTGAAGATAAAAAAGTAAATATAGAAAGGTGGAGAAGTTGCAGCGGAGTGAAGAAAATTCAAAGAGAAAAGGATAGAAGTGAATGATACTACTTTCTCGCTTTTGCCCCTTTTTTCGTGTGTAAAAGCCGTACGCGTTTCTCTGCTTCTTTATACACATCCACATATACGAGTATATACACACATAAATACATAAGCTCAAATTGGTTAAACTTGCTATGCATAATACTCCTTCCCTTTCAATTTATTTGTCACTATATAATTTATAATTTTATATGTTATTTTATTCTTTATTAGTTAAAATATGATTAGATTTATAGATAATAATATTTCTATATAAAAATATATGAAGTTAAATATTTTTAATTTATATGCATAAATTTAAAATGATAAATAAAATGAAACGAAAAGAATTAATAGTAATGAAGAATGTGTGTTTATTTGATTGCTTCCATTGGTCCATTTCATTTAGTTCCTGAGTTTTAAGACTAAGACCTAAAATCTAAAGGTTTTGATTAAACATAACTAGTGTGGGTATAGGTACGAATGTTCACAAAAAAAACAGATATTTATAGTTTAAATTATTATTAGACGATAGTTAAAAATAAATCTGTTTGCATAATACTAAATTACTAATAACTAGTTAACTAATATATATTAATGTCTAAATAATACAATGATATAACCATTTGATGAAAAATTGTTTGTGTTGTTCATGTCAGATTAGGAAAGATGTAGTTTAAATATTTATAGATGATTAGTAAATTGTAACTAGAAAATATTAAGTGCATTCATAAATTTATTTTATCAAAATCTTAATTTGTTAACATATTATATCCTCTAATTTCTTTATTAGAAAAGGTATTTTATTTCATTTTAGTTATTCGTTTATAAATTCTTGTAATTGTAAGAAAAAAATTTTGAATTTTTCTTTTTTTTTAAACATGATAGTTAAACCAACCATTCTTATCATTTGTAAACTGTGTTAGGAGAATACCAGGAAAACCAATCAGTCGCATAATTTTTTCAATTGTTATTATAAAAGATTGTTTTACTACTCACTTTGTAAAGAATCGTACTTTACTTTTTCATTCCATTAAATTAGTTTAGATTCTGGACTTACTTTTACAGCTATTTTTAGTTGAGTCCACCATCTAAACTAATTAAAAATGGCTTTAACCAATATTTCTTCCTGTAATATATCAACTTTTCGGAATTCAACATTAACTCCGTGCGTGTTAAATCATAGGGAACATGCGTGTAGTTTTTTTGCATGGGTCTAAAAACAGGTAGTTTCTTCATGAGATGCCCATGGCGATTCCATTGGCATTCACGTGATATATCACGTATATTTACACATTTTCAAAATTATTATTAGGTGGAAGTAGATAAAAATAATACTATAATCAACAAACCAATAAACTTAGCTGTGGAGACGTTTAAAATGGGTAAAAGTTATTCTGGTCTTTGGTTTAGAATTTGTTCGATAAGACGATAATATGTAAAGACCAAAATCATTCCTATAATTTCAAAACGTGAACAGTGTAGATAATAAGTTCCAGTCCAAAATTTAGCAAAAAGAAAAAAAAAGAAGATTCCAGTCTAGAAGTTTTGAACCTCCACTGTAAGTCAGTACTGAGAATTTGCAAGTAGACGAAACAAAGTCAATACGCGTTTAAAAAAGTAGACGTGATATTTTTATATGCGTTTACTCAAATTTAATTAGAAATCGAGTTTACTTTCAGTGGTTTTTTCACACTTTTAGCTAAGCGTTGACTACCTTTACCCTATTCAAAAATATTTAAAAGGTATATATTTCTTTATTAATTTGCTGAGATAACAGGCACAATTTTTGGCAAATAGTTTTTTGAAGGAAAAAAAAACAGAAACATAGAAACTTTCATCAAAAATTAGCAAAAAAAAAAAACATAGAAACTTTCACGATATCAAAAACTTTTCTGAGATATACTAATATGAAAATAAATGATTGTATTGCTAATATATTAATTCAAATACGATCACGTAGCTGAGTAAACAAGTTATACTGGAAAATTAATTACTTTGATTTAATTTTCTCTAAAATAAATATCTCTTTTACAAAACTTTGTTTATCTTTCTGCTCAATAGTTGACAATATTACTACCGTCGATCACCCAATTTTTAAATTTCGTCAAATCTTCTTTACACTCATTCACTTTTATATTTCTTTTTTGCTGGTATTTTAGGTTTTCCGTTGGATTCTTCTGACGAATTAAATCGAAACCATGAGTGTTTTTTGCTCTTTCTAGAGATTCCGGAGAGGTGTGGTTGGTCCATGGACCATAGGTGCCTTCTTTTCCACCATCTATGACCTGTTGAAGTACCAGAAAACTAGAGCGCTTACTGCCACATTGTTTTGTTATTTCGTTTTACTCATCTTTGTCTTTGTTTGTTCAGTTTTTTGAGGATTATTGTATTGTTTCTCTCCCTTCACAAAGTATTTGGTGGCTCGAAGAAAAGCCAACGAAGATCCCTTCTTTAGATTCAGTGATTTTAGTCAGTGTAAGAGTTCAGTGGTCTCTCGGTGCTTCCGTCGACTATTTTGCTCTTGACAACTTATAGGGGTTTAGAAGACTGACCCACTTTGGCTGCCTTCGAAGTAGGGTTGGGAATTTGTTTCAAAATCAGTGGGTGCCCCACTTGACCAGCCGCATAGCGAGTGCAGCTCAAGATTTTTTTTTAAAGCAGAGAGGATGCGGTGCAAATATCATTTTTAAATTGCATATATTTTGCCAAGCCTCTATTTTATTTATTTTTAAAAATATATATTTATTTATCAAATTTTTAATTATAAATATTATATAATATATAAAATATTATTCAAATTATTTTGTAATGTTTTTAGTTTAATAATATATCATTTATGCTATTAAAATTGAAATAAAAGATATATATACAATATTTAAATTATTATGATTCGCCGGTAGTCCACAGATAACTCATAAATCCAATAGGGGCAGATGCCGATTTACTAAAATTTTAATCACGGGTTATGAAGGATCAATTTTTAAAAAAAAAACTATCAACTCGCCTCAAGATAAGTCAAGCAGGGTGGATCTGGCCCATTTTCCAACACTATTTCAAGGTGTGTTTGAAAACTCTGGTTTATCATTTCCTCGCCTATTTTAGGTGTCTCACAGTTTCTCTAGGTCTTTCAGTTTACAGTTGAAGTTTCAGCTGGGTCCTCAGATGCATTTTTGGTGTTTCGCCTTATCTATTTAGGTCTTCTCAGCATCGATGGGCCAGATGCAAGAGCCAATCATACTTTGACTTGAGTCTGAGTTTCTCTTGTGGTACACTGCCAATGTAAATATTACTTGCTAGAACTCGTTCATGTTAGCTAAAGGTTTTGGCTGTCTGAGTATTCTCCGATTTGCTTATCGGAGTCAACCTCCTATGTGGTATCGCTGGCTGGGAGTAGCTTTCGAGCCAGGTCTTCGCCATCACCTCTCTCCCATTGGCTATTATTTTTGGTCGTACAGGTTATTCAACTTGTGAGATTAGAGGTGTTTGGTTTTTGCATTCACATATTATCTCAGCTTCTTAAAATAGCTTAGGCCTAATTCAAGAGTTTAAGATCTTTTTTTTACTTTTTTAGGGGTTCTTGAATCTAATTATGTTTGTTTAGCAAACTGGATACAAGTGGATGTACCAAACTTTCATTATTTATCAATGATATTTATAACTTTAGGAAAAGGAAAATTAATTACTTTAACAAATACATGTCTTACTGTATTAAGTTATTAGTAGCTATGGATATGTACATGCTTTGGTATGGGTTGTTACTCGTTATTAGTAAGGTTATGAATGGAAGGGCATAACAAGTGCAGATCTCCCGCTCATGCAGTTCTCTTGTTTTCTTTTGTCATTCATCTTTTTATGTATCTAAAAGCAGTTCAAGCGGGAGATCTGCATGCAGTTCGATATTTTCTGTCTATTTGTGAAAAAGGCAGGAGATCTGCATGTAGATCTCACCCGCTAACATTTGAAGAGGTTGATCTGTCTTTTCCACTAATAAATAATTTTGCTATAAACACTAATTTTAAATATATTTATTTGATTTTATAAATAATGTACAAATATTAACTCAAACTATATAGTTCATACTAATATTATTTATGTTATTTTAAAATTATAAATATAACGTTCAATCGCCTACAAAACATAACATTTTCCAAAGCAAAATATATAAATTTTCCTACATAAAATGAGTATTTTATTAAGCTGTACAATATTTTTCAACAAAAAAGATACAATTATTTCTTTATAAATATCAGCAAAGAGTTTAATATTAGTAACCTATTAGTTCTTCAAAGACAATTTTGATCAACTAAAACATAAATAAAAGTAAAAACATCTTATGAAAAATTCAATTAATATTTCGGTTGATCTTACAACATCTAAAATATTTATTTTGATATTTTGGTACAACTTTTTATTGTTTAAATATATGATCTATAGTTTTGAACTGATTTAGTCATTTATAATTTATAATAAATTGTTTGATGTGCATCTCTATGCATGATCCGTTTAATCTATACTTATATCGCTTGATCTACATTTGTTTTGCTTAATCTACATGAACCTCTTGATCTGCAATACTTGATATGCTTTTACTTACCATTCGAAGTTAAAGAAAAAGAAATCTACTTTATAGTAAGCTAATAAATTAATCAAGAAACACTTTAATTAGTTAATAGAATACCTTAAAGGCCACAAAAATCATGATGTCCCCCTTTGTTAACGCATGCTCTCCCTTCCCTTTCCCTTTACGCATTTTATTCTCCTCGATATTTCTATTCGAGTTATTGCTGAACAGTTTTGGAAACTGAATTATTTTATGCTCTTAAGCCATGGGTGAATGTATCGAGATAAAAACTCGTAAAAGAAGGGGTAAAAACAGCATGCATTGGCGTGTAATAAAAAA